AACCACTTTACTGACTGAGCTCCAGCTCCAGCTTTAACGGTGAGGTTTTAAAAGGCAGAGCCAAAGCCATTAAAAGGCAGTAGCCAAGGCAGTGGCTGACCATCAGAATAGTAGGATGAATAACAGGATGAAATTGGCAGGGCTTCAAGGTGAGGAGGACTGAGTTCCGACTGCTTGCTGGGGTTTCACCTCAAGGAAACACCGCACACCTGAGTTTACCCCCACATCTTCACAACTTTATGGAGCAGGCACCATATTCTCTATTTTAAAAAAATCCATTCATTCGCAGTGTATTGAGCCCCTGTGAAAATCTTGGCCTGTCTTGGTAATACAAACAAGAAACAATGGGTAGGTTTCTGAGATGGGCATGATGGTACATTCCTGTAAACACAGTAACACAGTACTCAGAAAGAGGCAGAAGGATTATTGCTGTGACCTGCTTCTTTTTTTTTTTCTTTTTTTTTGGGGGGGGTGGGGGCAGAAGGAAAGGAGGAGGAGGGAGAGAGAAAGAAAGAAAAAGAGAGAGAGAGAGAGAGAGAGAGAGAGAGAGAGAGAGAGAGAGAGCGCAGCTTTCTGCTGGGCAGTAAGCTGGTCTAGCACGGAAGTGAAGGAGCCATTTCAGTGCAAGAGCAGCGACAGCGTGCGGCTCCCAGGGCACAGCTTCATGGTAACTAGGGAGGAGCCTCCACCCAGGTAACTTAGGGTTAAGGAAGTAGCTTAATTCCAAAAGAAGCAGCTCCTCTAATGGCAGCAGACACCCCACTACACACACCACCCTCAACCCCCCACCTCCCCATTGCGTAGCAATTTCCTCTGCACTGAACACTCCTTCCTGGAGGAAGGAAGAAGGCGCCCATGACTGAGGAAGCTCAGAAAACTATGAGATGCAGAGTATACATCACCTGTCCTGTGGTCTTTCTTGGTTTCCTTTTTTATGTCTGTAGCCAAGGTTTTCAGGAAGTCTCTCCCAATCAAATCTGATTAATTTTTATTCATTAATTATTAATTATTTCATTAATTTTGAAGAGAACCATAACCTTTTGTTTTCTGTGGAAACAAGGTATAACCTCTCCCAAAACACAACATATTTTTGACTTCCATTTTGAAGTTAAGACATTCTTAAAATATATAGGTTGATTTAATTTAGCAGTTTCCATAATCCAATGTCTTTAAGTACCTGTTCTTTTTTCTTGTATATTAGCATTTTAAAAATTCAAAGTCAACAAAACACCGTATAGAACCCAGACACCCTGTATTTCCTAACTTTTCATAGCTTATTCTTTTTATATTACTTTATTCTTTCTTTAAATACTTTATTATGTTTAAACTATTTTTTCTAGGGCTGTC